GAAACTATGGAGACAGTTAAAAGATCAGTGTTATAAGGGGCTGGGGAGAGGGAGGATTGCAAAAGCAGCGCAGAGAGAATTTTTAGGGCAGTGAAACTACTCTGTGTGATACCATAATGGTAGAAGCATGTCTCTAAACTTTTCCCATGCTCACAGAATGTACAACACAAAGAGTGAAAACTAATGTAAATTATGGATTCTAGTTAACAATGATGTATCAATATTGGCTTATCAATTGTATCATATGTAGCACACTAATGCAAGATGTTAGTAATAAGGGAAACTGAGGGGGTTTTCTGGGATCTCTCTGTACTATTTGCCCATTGTTCTATGAACCTAAAACTGCTCTAAAAAAAAAAACTCTCTTAACACTTGAAAAAATTTTTTTTAAGTCATGGACAAAGGTATACCAGGAAAATGTCCTATCCCCCATCAAAAAAAAATCAATATAAGAGCAGGAATTGTGACTCTGATATTAGATAAAGTAGAATTCAAGCCAAAACACATTCAAGATGCAGAACAATGAGAACTCTCCTCTGCGGCTAGTGGGACTGCAAATGGTACACCTACTTCAGACAACAGTTGTGGGCCAGGTGCAGTGGCTCATGCCTGTAATCCCAGCACTTTCAGAGGCCAAGGTGGGAGGATTGCTTGAGCTCAGGAGTTCAAGACCAGCCAGGGCAACATAGCAAGACCTTGTCTCTACTAAAAATAAAATAAAATTAGCTGGGAGTGGTGGTGCATGCCTGTAGTCCCAGCTACTAAGGAGGCTGAGGCAGAAGAATCACCTGAGTCCAGGATTTCAAGGTTGCAGTGAGCCATGTTCGTACCACACAGACCATCCTAGGCAACAGAGTAAGAGTGTATCTGACAGGCCGGGCGCGGTGGCTCACGCCTGTAATCCCAGCACTTTGGGAGGCCGAGGCGGGTGGATCTCGAGGTCAAGAGATCGAGACCATCCTGGTCAACATGGTGAAACCCCGTCTCTACTAAAACTACAAAAAATTAGCTGGGCATGGTGGTGCGTGCCTGTAATCCCAGCTACTCAGGAGGCTGAGGCAGGAGAATTGCCTGAACCCGGGAGGCGGAGGTTGCGGTGAGCCGAGATCGCGCCATTGCACTCCAGCCTGGGCAACAAGAGCGAAACTCCGTCTCAAAAAAAAAAAAGAGTGTATCTGACAAAAAAATAAGAAGAGAAGAGAAGAGAAGAGGGAATGAAAGAAAAAAGAAAAAGGAGAAAACTGTTGTGTAGTTTCTTATTTGATGTAAACATGTCATTGCCTTCTAACACAGTAATCCCCTTCCTAGGTGTGTAACCACAATAAAAATGTATGTCCCCACATAAGTACGTGAATGTTCATAGCAGTTTCATTTGAAATAGCTCTAAATTGGAAATAACTCAAATGGCCATCAATAAGAGAATGAACAAATTGTGGCATATGAATGCAAAGGAATACCCACTCAGCAATAAAAAGAAATGAAGTTCTTATATACGCAACATTATGGATGAATCTGAAAGCACTAAGCCAAATGAGAGAAAACTGACCCCAAAAGGCTATATACAGTATGCTTTCATTTATATGACTATCTAGAAAATGCAAAACTATAGGATCAGGAAATAGATTAGTGGCTGCAAACAGCTAGAGAAGGGGAGGGAGGGCAAAGCATGACTACATAGGCCATGATGAAACCTTTTGGGGTGATGTAAATGTTTTATATCTTTATTATTGTGGTGATGATGCAACTGTATGCATTTTCAAAGGTCATCAAACTATATGCTTAAAAGGCATAAATTTTATATATAATTACCTCAATTAACTTGCCTTTTACAAAAGGAACTAAAGAAATATATAATAATAATATATAAATCTTATCTGGATCTTGATTTACATAAACAAACAGAAAATGACACTTATATGATAACTGGTCATTTGAATACTGACTAGATATTTGATGATATTAAGGAATGATTTTTAGGTGTGCTAATTAGTATTGTAGTCATGGTTTTTTAAAACAACTTTGAGATATAATTCATGTTATATAATTCACTCATTTAAAGTCTACAATTCAATGTTTTTTAGTGTCTTCATGTAGCTCTGCAACTATTACTGTTATCAGTATCAGAACATATTCAACACTCCACAAAAAAAACTCTCACACTCTGGAGGTTACCACCCTAGCCCTATCTCCCAGCCCTAGGCAGGCACTAATTTACTTTCTGTCTCTATACATTTGCCTATTCTGGACATTTCATGTGAATGAAATCATATAATATGCGGTCCTTTGTGAAAAGTTTCCTGCACTTAGTACAGTGTTTTCAAGGCTTATCTATGTTGTAGCACATAAAAGTACTTCATTCATTTTTATTGAGAAGTAATGTTTCATTATATAAATATACTACATTTTATTTATCTTTTTATTAGTTGATGAACATTTTCATTGTTTGCTCTTGGGGCTATCATGAATAATGCTTCTATGAATATTCATGTACTAGTTCTGTGTAGACATTATGTTTTTATTTCTCTTGGTTGTTTACCTAGAAGTGGAATCTGCAAAACATATTGGTAACAACTACGTTTAACTGTTTGAAGAGCTACCAGACCATTTTCCTGCACCATTTGACATTTGACAGCAATGTAAGAGTTCCCATTTCTCTCCATCCTCACTGACACTTGTTATTATCTGTCTTTTTGATTATAGAGTTGTACAGCACAGGCACCGACAGTTCCAAGTGAATACCAGGCAGCATGCTATACAAGTATGTACTGGCTGGATTCTGCCTTCTTTAGAGGGCATTTGAAAATATGGAAGAATGTCTTAGGTTACACAATCCCTGAGGATTGTCATTGCCACTTAGTGTTTGGGAACCAGGGAAGCAAGATGTTCTGCAAAGCAAAGGATAGTTCCATACAATGAAAACGTTTCCTGCTCAAAATTCTAGTGGCATCCTCATTGAGAAACACGGCTGTGGAGCAATCTCAAGTATGAATATTGATAAAAGAATCTTAAAATATTAACAATAGACCCTGAGAACTTACCGAAATACTATTGGTACCATGTGAAATTTTTCCAAAATCCAAGGATGTTACATGTAGTGAATATATTAATATGATTCACTATAACAAGTCTAGGGAGAAAACTCATAAAACTTTTTTCTGTAGACTGTGAAAAGGCATTTCACAATTCACTATAAATATCACTTGTAGTGACTATTTTTTACCATATCCAATAAATTAGGAACCAATGAATACTTAGTTAATTTAATGAAATATATCTCTCTGTGCCCAAAAGGGAGCATCTGTTTAACTGGGAGACGTTAGAAGAAATCTACTGAAGTTAGGAAGAAGATAATGAGATCAACTCTGGAGGCTTACATCATTTTTCATGAATTGGAAGAGTCAATATCATAATGATGCCAGTTACTATGATAACAATATCGGTTCTCTTCAAATGCAATCCCAATCAAAATCTAAGCAGATTTTTGTTCGTGAAAATTAACACCTTATTCTAAAATTTATATAAAAACACAAATAGCCAGAAATAGCCAAAGTAGTCTTGTGGAAGAACAAACTTGATGATTCACAGGACCAGATACGAAGAAGACTCATTAGAAAGCTGTAGCAGTTAAGAGAATGTAGAATTAGCACTAAGACAAATAAGAGAGTTCACAAATCAACTCATCTACATATGGAACACAGGTGACATTAGAAATGTAATAGGGGAACAATGAGTTGTTTAATAGATTCTGGTTCAGTATGTGAAAAAAGTAATGTGAATGCCTATTGCACTATACACAAGGTGGACTCGATAGATTTATGACATATTTTAAAGGTAAAAATATAAGAAATATAAAATAATATTATTAAAAAATTCAATTCAGGGTAAGCAAAGATTTTTATTAAATAAGAGCCCCCAAAGTTTAAATTATAAGGCAAAGGAGGAAGAGTAAAGATTTGGCTCAACAAAAATCAGCTTTCTTTTTCAGTTAAGTATCCATAAATAAAGTTAATAGAAACCAGAAAGAGATAACTGAATGTTTGAGACAAACATTTGATTAATTTTTAGAATGCAATGTAGGTAGCACTGTGTTAGTCAATAAGAAAAAGGCAGAAAATTAAATGAAAAATGGGCAAAGGATATGAACAGGTAATAGAAGGAGAAGCCTGCATAATATGTGAAGAGATGCTCAAAATCATTAGTCATCAGAGAACTGAAAACAACAACAGCAATAACTATTACTGGATAATAATGAGATTGGTAAAAATAGGAAATGTAATAATACCAAATTTTGGTGAAGATGTACATTCAGTGAGAATATAAATTGTAACTGCCATTCTGGAAACAATCTTCCGGAACTTTGTTAAATTAGGTGTCTGTATTTCCCTTGGCCAGGCAACTCTATTTGGCTACATATAGCAGAAAAATGATTGCATAGATACATAAAAGGACTTGTAGAAGACACTCATTGCAGTATTGTCTATGATGGTAAGAAGTTATATGTACAGCAATAGGGGTATATATAAATAAAACATAATTGATTTACACTAGTAATTAAGCAGCAATAAGAAATGAAGTAGAAAGTGTTGAATAACAAAAGTAATACAGAGAATGAGGTCTGTACATCTTGGTTTGTCTAGACAGTTCCAATTTACACCTGTTGTAAATTTATACCTGTTGTATAATTATTAATAGCACTCCCATTCTCAATAGTTTAGGCAATATACTGAATAGTTTTCCTATCTATATAATAACACCACGTTGCAAATAGTAAATCACAGAAACACTCAAAACAACACTATTTTTGCTACATGCAAATTTAAGGACATGGATCAAGGAGGGGACCTACGTGGTAATACATGGGATGAATTAGGGTAATACATGAAAGAAATGAAATGGAACAGTGACAATGACTAAAACTCAATATGATTAACTCTGTTCTCTGCTCCAAAGTTCAAAAAATTTAATACTTAATAATAGTTTATTAAAAATTCAACACTTACAATACTTCTGGTACTAAAAATTCGATAGTCGGGACTCTTACTATAATACCTGTGGAGGAAGAAGCCAAGTATGAATATTAAAACTAATTTATTCTTCAAATATGAGGATTCTCCATGTGGTCAGGGCATACCCAGGCTGCCAGGAGCTTCACCTTCCCGCTTAATTCCTTCCTAGACAGCAGCTCAGGGCTAAAACCGGGCCTGTCAGTGACCGCTAGCCACACCTCTAGATGTGTTAAGGTTTCCTCAGTATCTGAAGACACTAAGATGAGAAGCTAACATTCTTTTCCTTTTTTTTTTTGGTAGGACAAAAACCCTTAAAGAACATTGGCTGTAACTCCTTCACGTATAAAGAGTTAAAATTCTTAAGAAAAATAAAGATTGGAATTTCAAAAACCCAGTTTTTTTTTTTTTTTTTTTTTGAGACAGGGTCTTTCTCTGTCACCCAGGGTGGAGTACAAGTGCAGTGACCTTGGCTCACTGCAGCCTTGACCTCTCAGGTTCAAGTGATCCTCTGGCCTCAGCCTCCTGAATAGCTGGGACTATAGGCACACGCCACCACACCCAGCTAATTTCTGTATTTTTTGGTAGAGGCAGGGTTTTGCCATGTTGCTGCAATGAAGGGTTCTTAATTTCTGTCTGTATGATTCATCTAATGTAGTACTGTCCAATAAAATACAACTCACCTCCTATTAATTAAAAATGTTCAAGTAGCTACTTTAAAAGCACAAGAAGAAATGGGTGAAATTAATTTTAATAATATATTTTATTCAACATGTAATTAGTATAAAATAATTATTAGTGAGATATTTTACATTTTTTTTCATACTAAGTCTTTGAAATCTGGTGTGTACGTTACACTTAAATACATCTCAATTTGGGCTATATTTCAAGTGTCCAAAAGGCACATGAAGCTGGTGACTATCATAAATCATCATCTTACAATTCCTTCACCTTCCATTTGCTTCAAGAATCTATTCCACGTCTACACTGCATATCTAATTGCAATTGAAATTGTTCTATCCCTAAAGTTTTAAGTCAGAGGCCTTTGTTCTGCATGCAGAGGAAGAGTTGCTAGGATATCATTGTGCAATTTCCTTATCAGAATTATACAAGCCTTAATAGCACTCTGAATTCTAATTTTTAACAGAAATCAGTCACCTTTATAATGAAACACATTTTCTGTATAAACAGATCGAATAAAAAACATGTTCATGTATTTTCTATACGCCTATAAATTAAATCTATTGTCATCAAAGGCTTTTTTTGAGTTTGAACCACCTCACACTTCTCATGAATCTAAGATCCCTTTCATTACAGAGAGAAAAATACAAGTGGCAAATTTGGTACTTTAATTTACAAAGTTAAATTATGTAATTTAATAAGATTTGGTAGCTAAATGATAAAATGACCTTTCCCGGCAGGTCTTTTCTCCTCACTGACTCCCTCAACAGCTTCCCACTCCTACTGGGGCTGAGGACAGGGTAGGGAGAGAACAGTAGCTAAAAGAGTCATGTTTAATTTATTAACTTATTCACAGATAACAATGATAATGCCTTTTCATCCTTGATTAATTATGTCTAATATTTAATGTATTATTGTTGGAAACGGATCTAAGAGGCCCATAGGTGTGTGGGGTGTGCAGATCGACATGTGCTATCTTTTCGTGAAAGGGGCACTGTCATCTCACTCTTGGACCACAATGATCCTCTCTCCTCTGGCAAAAGAAGGGTGCAGGAGGGGAAAGGAATGTAGGAATTCATAGGGGCCAGGGTGCCATGGCTCATGGCTCACAGCTCAGGGCCAGTAACTAAGCAGGGAGGCCCAGGAAGGAGGATCACTTAATGAGACCAGCCTGGCCAATATTGTGAGACCCTGTCTCTACCAAATTTTTTTTTTTTAACTTAGCCAATCGTGGTGGCGCGTGCCTGTGGTCCCAGCTATTCAGGAGGCCCAGGTGGGAGAAGCGCTTGAGCCCAGGAGTTCCAGGCTATAGGGACTTATGATGGCGCCACTGCATTGCAGGAGCAAGAGGCTGTCTTTAAAACAAATAGACGTCCCCGCCCTAAGAAACAAAAAAGTGGCCGGGCGCCGTGGCTCACGCCCCTAATCCCAACTCTTTGGGAAGCCGAGGCGGGCGAATCATGAGGTCAGAAGATCGAGACCATCCTGGTCATGGAGAAACCCTGTCTCTACTAAAAGTCTGTAGTCCCAGCTACTCAGGAGGCTGAGGCAGGGGAATCGGTTGAACCTGGGAGACGGAGGCTGTTGTGAGCCAAGATCGTGCCACTGCACTCCAGTCTGGCGACAAGACTCCGTCTCAGTAAAAAGAAAAATATAAAAGATCCCAGAGGGGCTCAGACGTTCTGAGGACAGCAGCATGAAGGTACTGCGACCTTGCTGCAGGAACTCAAAGCGCTAACAGCGTCCCCTCTCGCTCATGAAACACTGTCGGGTGTGAGCGGCGGCACACTGGTGCTGGTGTTCCGGGGGCCCGGAGAGGAGGCGGTGGTCGGCCATCGCGCGCGGTCCCGGGGCGCATCGGGTGGGGAGCGGGAATAGGGCCCCCCTGCCCCGCTGGAGGTACTGCCTGCACAGTCGCTCGCCTGCGGCTGGCGTCTCTCTACCTCCAAACGGCCAAGCCACAGCAGCTCAGCCACGACAGCAGCACTGCCACCCCCCGGGCTGACATGGCGCCTGCTCGGCCTCCGCCAACCGCCTGGGCCACTTCCGTCCAGGCCTCGCGCCTTCCCCGCGCGCGTGCGCCGGGCCGGTTCCTGAAGGCTCTTGGGTCCTGGGGCCGCCGGCAGGGCGGCCGGGCCTGAGCACCAGCGAGGGAGAAGTGTGCGCATGCGCGCGCGCCTCTACCTGGGCTCCCTAGAGGTCAGAAAGCAGCTGGAGTGCGAGCCTGTATACCAGATTTTAGGAAACGCAGAACCAAGATTTCCAGCAGCGAGATTGCAAACACACTTAGAAAAATCCGAGTTGTTAATTAAAAAAACAAAAAAAGAGAGAAAAAAAAAAAAGAAAAAGAAAAATCCAAGTTGCCTGAATGAAGGTAAAACTTTTAAGGTAGTCTTTTAGCCCAAATCTTCATGTGATTGTGTATAGACGCTACAATAGCAAATACATATCTGGCAGTGCTTTCCAGGGAGCAGGCACGCCATAGTGATTTTTTGTTGTTGTTGTTTTTGTTTGTTTTTGAGACAGAGTTTCACTCTGTTGCCCAGGCTGGAGTGCTGTGGCAAGATCTTGGCTCACTGCAACCTCTGCCTCCCGCGTTCAAGAGATTCTCCTGCCTCGGCCTCCTGAGTGGCTGGGGTTACAGGCGTGTGCCACCAGACCCAGCTAATTTTTGCATTTTTAGTAGAGACAGTGTTTCACCATGTTGCCCAGGCTGGTCTTGAACTCCTGGCCTCAAGTGATCCACCCACCTCAGCCCCCGAAAGTGCTGGGATTACAGGCATGAGCCACCAAATCTGGCCAGGCACACCATAAATGATTTTTTTTTTAATTTATTCATTGCAGAAGACCAGAGTTTTAGTATTACTCAAATCAGTCTCCCAAGCACCTGAGCAATCAGGGAGCAGAGTTTTTAAGGATAATTTGCTGGGTTGGGGGAAAGCCAGTCAGCCAGGAGTGCTGACTGGTCAGGGATGAAATCAGAGGGAGTAGAAGCTGTCTAAGTCACTTCCTGGGTGGGGACCATAAGATCCAAGCCAGTTTATTAATCTGGGTGGTGCCAGCTGACCCATTGAATGCAGGGTCTGCAAAATCTCTCAAGCACTGATCTTAGGAGCAGTTTAGAGAGGCTCAGAATGTTGTAACCTCCAGCCTCATGACTCCTAACTCACAATTTCTAATCTTGTAGCTGATGTTAGTCCTACATGGGCAATCTAGTCCCTAGGCAAGAAGGAGGCCTGCTTTGGGAAAGGGCTGTTACCATATTTATTTAAACTATAAACTAATTTTCTCCCAAAGTTGGTTCAACCTATGCCCAGGAATGAACAAGGACAGCATTGAGGTTAGAAGCAAGATGGAGACTGTTAAGTTAGATCTCTTTCACTGTCTCAGTCATAATTTTGCAAAGGCAGTTCAATCCCTCCCTTTGGGTTTTATAACATCTTAATCTTAAGGTGTAGGCTATGAAGATGGGACAAGGCCGTTGATGACTCTGGCTTCTTCCTACTGACAGGGGACATAATGGGAATGGGAGTGAACCCCAAGGTCAGAAGGATGGAACCACTTTGCAATTGTCTGAGTGGACTCATGCAGGCCTGGTTGAGTTTCCAAGGCTTGCATGGCAAAAACATCAGTACTCTCATCTACAGTTTTACTACAGTGTTTAAGTGAACAGTCTGCTCTAGGTAAATAATGAGTTCTAAGATGAGGAGTACAATTCCCAATTTTAAAAGCAAAGATTTGACAGCATTAGTTTGGGGACTTCTAACCCACAAATAATTTAGTAGTTAGTCTAAACTGCAGAAAAAACCTCAAGAACAGCTAACAACGATGTACTATAGTTTTTCTTTTGAAGGGTAATTTTTCTCTCTCCAGTCTCCATTCTTATAAAAACAAATCATGGTAGAACTGATTTGTTTATAAAATAAACTTTAGTCTTACTGTACTTGGCCTGATTATTTGCATAAAGTGAAGCAAGAATAATTATTTTTCACTTAGGCTTTTTAAATTGGCTTTGATAGAACTCTGTTCCATGAAGAATCTCAGAGAAGACTTTTTAAAAGCCAAGCCCAGCCATGGGCTTGTACCCTCAAATACCTCTGAGTCGGTATTTGAAAATTTCTTTCCTCTTGAGGTCCCAAGATAACTTGAGGTTCCTGGGCTTGTTACAAAGTGACATTTTTTACTCACCACAGATCAGGAACCTTGTACAGGGTCTCTGTGTGGGCAAGGTATGAGGCCAGATTCCCCAATGGGCTTTAACTGGCTTTATGAGTCAACTTTGACACTTTAAAGGAAGCATGCCATTTCAATCAAAGCCTTGGTAAAATAACTAGTTTCTCCAATTGTGTCCAGTTACAAAAGAAAACAGATTCTTATTGCACTTATGCAATCAACTACACTGCCTTAAATTGAGAATATTCACAAACAGTTTCCAAATTCTGGAGAAATCAGGTAGATAGAAACAAATATGCTCTAAATTTTGTTCACAGGAGTATATTTTATTCACTTGTTAGAAGTTGCAAATAGCTCTAAAGAAATAAGTTCTCTTGACTCTAAAGGCAAAAGGTTTAAATAAACTCTCCATGACAGTCCTAGAAGTTTGGTTTTTTCCCTCCATTTCAATAGCACGATTTTTAAAGTTATCTGAGACCTACACTCAGAGTCCTATATAACTGTCCTATATAACTTTTCAAAAGACATATAAAAGTCCTATATAACTGTCCTATGTAAGTTTTCAAAAGACCTATAAAAGTCCTATATAACTTTTCAAAAGACTTGTAAACTGCCTTTTGAAGAGGACCAAAGCAAGACAAAATGTCTGTGGATGACAAAAGTCTATAGCCACTATTAAAGCTACAACTGACTAGGAATTTTGGTTACTTCTGTGGCATACAACAATTTTACATAACCATTATAATTATGAGTAATGTATACTAAATTATATCAACATTATTGAAATTTCCCGTAATTTTGGAACACATACCAATAACATATTTATACAAATACAGTCCAGAGAAAAACCAAACACCATTCACTTTTCTATTTGAAAGTTTTTTCTAATGTCACAATTTCCCGGAGTTATTAATCAGAAACTTGCCTTTAAAAGTACCTGCTAAATTTTATAGCTGATTATAAAATCATCTTTTAAAGAGGACCAAAGAGAGAAAATAATTGTCTGTGGATGACAAAAACATTTTAGGGCAGCCACAATTAAAGGAACCATTGACAAAGAAATTTACCTCTGTGGCGCACTGTAATTCAGCATAATAATTATAATTATTACTGATAACATATCCTAAGTTATATTCGAATTATAGCAGTTTTACATAATTTTGGAACATATACACATAACACATTTGCACAAATATAGACCAAAGAAAACCAAACACGATTTTATATTTGACAATGCTTCCTGTCTGATTTTTGTACCAAATAAGCCATATATCATTTTTGGACTTTAGAGGACCTAATATCTAAAATATTATGTTAGAAAGAGACATCATTTATAATTTGATTTTGGAAAGTTTGTCAAATATCAAAGGTTTAAAACACTGGATATCAGGAAATAGAATCTCAGGTCAACCTAAATCATTCATTTGGCCAAACTGATAACTCCAAAAAAATTTTTTAAAAAAGAAAAACTTTTACTATGATAGAGGAGACTTAGCTTTCCAAACAAGACCCAATGAAGATAGCGTGAAGCCAACTTAATCTGTCTCTTCTCTTTCTCTTCCTTTTTTTGCCTGGCATTAAAACAAAACCCTTTCATTATCTTTTAATGTTACATAAAAATTGTCATCAAAAGAGAAAACAAATTTCATGTTTGCACTAGTGCATCTTTAATGTTAAAGCTAGTTTTTTAAATAAAATTTTACATCCCTATCCAGTTTTAATTAGTTTAACTATAAGGTAAGATTTTCATAAACTTTTTAGAACCCTTTACAATTTTCCATCAAGCAGCAGATCGGTTTTCTAAGGAAACCCTGTTATTCAGACACATGGGCCCAGATTCTGGCCCCACATTAAGTATGATTTTGATGTTTTAATCTACGGAAAAAAGCTAAATAATTTCTTTTAGATCTTAGCCAACTTGTTAATACCCACAGAATTTTTTACAAGATCAACCATTTACAAACCCTTTTCACTTTGCTTAAACCTTCCGTTTTGTTCCCTTACTCTTTTAGGTTAAGACATCTTTAAAACTCTCTGAACTAGACAAAATTACATTCCCTTTAACAGGAGCCATATTCTTATACCTTCCTATAATCTTTTCCCAGAAACATGTTCCCTACACTACCTTGTATGTAAAACTGTTTCTCCAGCAATCTCAATTTCAGGTTACAATGTTAACTCTTAGCAACTTTCATTTTTAGTGAAAAACCTGATAAGTAAGTGAGTTTAATTATATGCTAGGGGTAGAGCCTAGGACATTAGACAGACGTGAAGATAAAGCCTGACTCTTCTCAGCATAGCTAGTGGGCATGGCTGTCATGTCCCCAGGCTTTATCTATAATGCTCCAAAGTAAGTACATCCAACGATTTTCAAAAGTTAAGGAAATAGTTTGACTTTAAAGCATTTAGTAAATTTGATATCCGACCTTAATTTAGAGCAAATGTCTATATTTTCAAGACATTTTATTTTACCAACCATCTTTAAAACTGTCTTTATTTCCAAAAGATTACTAAAGTCATGTGAATAAAAGGCATTAAAGCTTCTGTTTTTCTGACAAAATATGTGATGTAAGTGCTCATTTTTTCAAAGCCAATTAATCAGAGCTCTGTTGTATATAAACATCACACACACACACAAAACACATATAAATTCAGACAGAAGATTCAACACTTAGAATATTTTTCATTTGCCAGTTTCTTAATTGGATGACTGGCTTCAGGGTGGAGCGGCTGGAGGAACAGGGCTAGGAAAGCATGCATTTCTAGGGCCAAATAAACAGCAAATAAGCAGCTGAAGTCAAAGACAGATTCCCAAAATTAAGGGTGCCATTTTATACTGCATCCTGGATCCCAAAAGGAGGGAAATACTTCGAAAGAAGACAGTGCCGTGCTTTTACTAACTATGCCTTTCAT